CATTTTTCGCAGTGATAATGCCTTAGAATATTTATCTTCTCAATTTCAGCAGTTTATGATTTCTCAAGGAATTATTCATCAGACATCTTGTCCTTATACCCCTCAACAAAATGGGGTTGCTGAGAGAAAGAATATGCACCTTATTGAGACTGCTCGCACACTTCTAATTGAATCTCGTGTTCCGTTGCGTTTTGGGGCGATGCAGTTCTCATAGCTTGTTATTTGATTAATCGGATGTCTTCATCTCCCATCAAGGATCAGATTCCGCATTCAGTATTGTTTCCCCAGTCACCCTTATACTCTCTTTCACCCCGTGTTTTTGGGAGCACGTGTTTTGTTCATAACTTAGCCCCTAGGAAAGATAAGTTAGCTCCTTGTGCTCTCAAGTGTGCCTTCCTTGGTTATTCTCGTGTTCAGAAGGGATATCGTTGTTATTCTCCGGATCTTCGTTAGTACCTTATGTCAGCTGACGTCACATTTTTTGAGTCTAAACCTTTCTTTACTTCTGCTGACCACCATGATATATTTGAGGTCTTACCTATACCGATCTTTGAGGAGTTTACTATAGCTCTTCCTCCAGCTTCGACCACAGAGGTTTCATCCATACCAACCGTTGAGGAGTCTAGTGTTGTTCCTCCTAGTTCCCCAGCCACAAGAACACCACTCTTGACTTATCATCGTCGTTCACGCCCTACATCAGGCCCAACTGGTTCTCGTCCTGACCTTGCTCCTGCTGCGGACCCTGCTCTTAGTACACTGATTGCACTTCGGAAAGGTATACGAACCACACTTAACCCTAATGCTGATTATGTCGGTTTGAGTTATCATTGTCTGTCATCTCCCCATTATGCTTTTATATCTTCTTTGTCCTCGGTTTCCATCCCTAAGTCTACAGGTGAAGCGTTGTCTCATCCAGGATGGCGACAGGCTATGAGTGACGATATGTCTGCTTTACATACAAGTGGTACTTGGGAGAAGACCCGACATTTCTTATCCTGTGAGTGTTGTAAGTCAGTTTATGAATTCTCCATGTGATAGTCATTGGGATGCATTTGTCCGCATTATTCGGTATATAAAATCGGCTCCAGGCAAAGGGTTACTGTTTGAGGATCGAGGTCATGAGCAGATCGTTGGATACTCAGATGCTGATTGGGCAGGATCACCTTCTGATAGACGTTCTACGTCTGGATATTATGTTTTAGTAGGAAGCAATTTGGTGTCCTGGAAGAGCAAGAAACAGAATGTAGTTGCTCGATCTAGTGCAGAAGCAGAATATCGAGCAATGGCTATGGCAACATGTGAGCTAGTTTGGATCAAACAATTGCTCAAGGAGTTGAAATTTGGTGAAATCAGTCGGATGGAACTTGTGTGCGATAATCAAGCTGCCCTTCATATTGCATCAATTCCGGTGTTCCATGAGAGAACTAAACACACTGAGATTGATTGTCACTTCGTCAGAGAAAAGATACTTTCAGGAGAGATTGCTACAAAGTTTGTGAGGTCGAATGATCAACTTGCAGATATTTTCACCAAGTCTCTCTCACTGGCCCCAGTATTGGTTATATATGTAACAAGCTCGGTACATATGATTTGTATGCACCGGTTTGAGGGGGAGTGTTAGTTTACAGCTATGTATATAGTGTAGTCTTGTCCCACATTAGAATAGGAGTAGTATGTCCTTGTATAGTATAGCTATAAATAAGGACCTCTTGTATTGTATTGAACATCTAATATCAATAACATATTTTCTCCCGTGCTTTCTCACAGAACCTATTGGAACCTTCAAATCCTTATTCCGAGGTCATTTATAAAAATTCCAAACCTTAGCAAGTTAGAATTTTTCTTTCCAAATCAACTCCGAACTTTCCGAAATTTGATTCCGGCCATACGTGCAAGTCATAATACCTGAAGTGAAGCTACTCATGGTCTCAAACCATCGAACGACGCGCTAGAGCTCAAAACGACCGGTCGGGTCGTTACATGGGACTTATCTAAAACTTTTTGTCTGGTTTCTGGATTAGTAAATCTAATGGCTGGTATGTTTAGACGATTGTTTATCGTAAAACTCCACAAGCACATAAGTTATGGTCTCTATTAAGTTATAAATCCCACATAGACCCCTCTAGCTTAAAAGATCTTGGGCCGCTCCACTCATTGCTTTGGGTTGTATGTTCAGATACTTTCAAGTGTCATCAGCAGCTCCCTTTGGTAAGCCCATTCTCACAATAGTAAGTCCATATTAAGTTTGCATGTGACCACCAAAATAGGACATGTTTGAGAGAGTGTTGATTTCTAATTGTACCATATGTATTGTGAATTGATTTTCGAGGGGGTTTATAATGGTTTCGGGGACTCCATCTATTCCCTTAAGCTCTTGGGTTGGATGCTCGAATACTTATACAATCTTCTCACGGTATCAGTGATAACAGATCTTTCTTCTCCTCGCCCTGTTTGTTTTTCTTTGCTGCAGGATATGAGAGTGAAGATAGCTCTGCCCATGAAGTTAATCCCGACTCATCTGGTTGGTTTTAGTCTACTATCCCATAGTTTTGTTGGTTATGAGTCTGACTGCGTTTTGCTTGAAACATGTTCTGCAATTTTTCGTACTTGTGTTCACAATATGTTGGTACTACTCCACCTATGAGGAAGGTATATCTATGAATTATAATGATGAAAGTTACTATATTTCCCCATTCCTTATTTGTAGGATTAACATGTTATCTACTATTTCCAAACTCTTGCTCGAATAATCATTACACTGTGAACGTGGATTATAGCCAAGGAGCAAGGTGAAATTCTGAAATCACCTCCCTCTTCGAGAAAAAAAGATAAAAGAGAAGTCTGATGCTATTTTCCTTAATTTTGGGGAGATGCTGCCCTATGAAATTATTGCTAGTGTGAAAGCTACAATTTTTGAGCTGTGATGTGGAACATGAAGTTTCTGCAGAATGTATGAATTGGAAATTCTATTGAATCAGGGATATCAGTTACTTTCTTTTGATTGGTAATTCTTTACTAACATTTGGTGATAATTTAACCTATCAAGTCGATGAATAAAATTATGGAAGCATGATTTTAAATTTTCTTAATATTTAATTTGAAACCAATATACCTCTTAAGATTATATTTAGTGCTGAATGAGAACTGATTTTGCTGCTACCTCTAGATGGCGATTGTCTTGTAAATTATGCAGTTGTAATTGCGTCATGCTGCTGTTCTGAATTGGCGTCAGCCCAAAAAGGAAACATCGTGTTGTTTGCTAAGAGTTTGTGTTCATAAAAGTATCTTCTAAAATAAAAGATTATGAGAAACATTACTTGAATATCATAAAGTGCAGTATGGAAGGATTTATACAGGACGAAATACTCGGGTAAAGCCAGTACTGGTTGCTCTTTTCCATGCTGCTTTCATCAACTTCAAAATAGCTACTTCTTGATTTTATATGTTGCACGTGAGCTATAATGTTATATCTTCCTTTTTCTATTTCAGAAAAATAATTTAAATGCTTAGGGTTCGTTTTTAGTGTTCAATTCTAATTGATTTCTAAAATGTACTAGTAGTAGGTCTTCCATCGAGTGATGAAGATGTTACAACTCTGAAGGACACCAAGATTTCTGGTGAAACTCATTTGCTTGAGAAGGGCATTGCAGATCTAGATAATGCGCGGAATAATTTTATGCCTGAAGAGGATGATATTCCACGTGATGCTTTAGACTATGTCTTGAAATGTAAATCAGTTTTTAAGTGCAGGATATGTCCTAGAATCGTCTGCTTGACAGTGCAGACTCTAAATGCTCATCTTAAATCGAAAGTAAGCCTTCATTATCAGTCCTTTCATTTTCCAACTGTAATTCAAGCCTTCATTATCTTTTCATTTTCCAACTGTAACTAAGTCACTTCTTTAGATCGTATTCCATGTAAAGCTTGCGGTGCTAACATCTCCCAGTCACCACTGACCAGTGCAGGGACTACTACTACCTGCAATTTTACTCTTTCCATGTTAAAGAATCTTAAGCTACACGTTAACTTACGTACACAATTGAGACCTGCAGTGACTGATCTAACATAAAGTATTCATGATTCTTACAGAGGCATGCCCGCTCTGAAAAGCTGTTGAAAGAAGGGAGGCTTAAACTTATGCTTACCGAGGATGGAAGAATCGATGGAGAAATTCATCCTGAAGAGGATAGCCCAATCGGTGGCCAGGTTTGTTCATTTGCATTTTACTGCACGATGAATGTTTTGACCAAGTGAAGCCTCATGTTTTCATAAATTGCTTACCGTCATTATCATATGAATCATAACAGAACCCTTCAGCATCAAAGAAGAAAAGCAAAGGATTGAAGAGGCAGCACAAGGGGAAGAAGTTTAATAAGGTACATGCTAAGATCTGTGTCATGATAGCCCTTGTTACTCGTTTGAAAATATATTGTTAGTCTAAAGATGAATTTTCAAATTCAACTGCAGAATGAGGAAAACTTTTTGCCCGTGGATGGTGCTACAGATTCAAGAAAGAACCAGTCCAAGAAGAGGCAGAAAAACAAGTGAAGAACGTAGTGAGATCTTGGCATCTAGCTGTTTATTCATTGAGCTAGAATCCATGAGACAAGAAGTTAAGGAGCAATGGAAACGAGCACATGAGCATGAAGAATCAATCCATGTTTGATGGGACGAATTAGTTGTGATTGCTCACTGCTCACTGGTGTCACCCAAAATATTACATTTCTTTTCAACTTTTGAGCAGAGAGCAATTTTGTACTGGGATGTTGGATCTGAAGCTTCATTCTAGTAAATGCATGACAGAAATGCCTTACATTTCAGACCGTTTTGGCAAATCTGTTTCATAAAATGAAATTGTTTTCAAATTTATATTTTTATGATGTTATGGCTACATTGACGGATACCCCCTTCACCTTTTATGGATGCGACTGCACCCCTAGTTATTTCTTCAAAGATAAAACACAAATCTTTCAACTGTTTACCCTTGAAGGCATGCTTGCTGTGTGTGTGTGTTTTTCAATTCCGGTTGGAGGTATCGCATGAGATTTCCTTGTCGAATGTGAGTTTTACTAGACTACCTCTTTCATTGCTTTTAAAGCCTTGTAAAGGCCAGAATATTTGCAAAGTGGTGGCTTAAGTCAGGTACTGCATTATCTTGTTTCCGATTTGCATCATTATGCAAAATGACTAGCATACAGCTAAAAAATAATGTAACGGCACCATAAATGGTGTAGTTCTTCGTCATAATGAAATTGCCCAATCTAAGTACTGTGATTCACTGGTTGCCAGCCAAAAATGTGATTATGCATAATTTCTTGCATTTATGAACTCACTGATTGTAATCTTGACATTGGCTTACGTAGATACAAAACTATATCAAGGTTATCAGAACTATATGCTCACAACAGTGTCTTCCGAACTCACATTTTTTGGAGTAGACCGTAAAGCTACAAGTGGCATCTAATATAAGCAGAATTTTCAACCCCATTCCTGAATGCATACAGAAAGACAAACAACCTAGGTTACCAGCCACAAAATGCAATTCGAGTTCATACGCACTTTAACCAGAACTCTATTGCGATAGACGAAGATACCAACAAAGAGTTCAATGCTCAGATCAGACATCATCCATAAGGAACTAGGACGAGATGACGTCAAACCAAAACGTTAGGAGTTAGGCTAAAAGTTGTATCATCCTTCCAGTTAAGCTCCAGCCTCATCTGAATCATTCTTAGGTGAAGGTAGTTGTTGCTCTTCATTCCCAGCTGCTTCAGCCACGTGATCTGATGAAGGGGCTTGCTCCCCGCTTTCACTATTTTCAGGGTGAAAATTGATGGGGAACTTTGTTACTCTAGGTTTGTCTGATAGTATGTTTCTTTGAATCTTGTCAATTAAAACCTTTTGTGGAGGTTCTTCTCTTAGCTTCTCATCATCATAATCATTGTTCACATAGTAGCCAATTCGTACAAATTCTTGACCCAAATAGGAACAGGTCAACAGGAGCACAGTGACACCAATTATATCCTCTTCACGAATTCTGGAAGGATCTGGAGGGTCCGCCTAGTATTAGCAGTGGAAAACATTACACAAATCCGATCAACAGAAAGGCTTAAACCCAGCTAAAAACAAGTTGCTTGTCAAAGCAGGAGGTAATACCTGCAATACAAAGCGGTAATTTCCAACATTGACGGGGCCAACAAGCACACTTTCTAGTTGTTGGTCATACGTCTCATCCTCGGCAGACCCAACATAAATGAGTTTCCATTCCAAGTCTGCATGCAAAATAAGTAAAATAGAAACCAAAATAAAGCTGTTAATATAACCAAGTAAGACTATATTAATAGAGAGCAACATCTTTAGTTGCTTTAATTTGTAGAACAGTCTATGCCTACGAGATCATAAACAAGAAAAAGATCAATTTGGTGGGAGCAGTTCTATGTGCTTGTCAAAGGACGAACATAGATATATTTAATGAGAATGGATAGGCAGTCCAGAGATGATTCTCTAGTATTTCAATTCCTAAAAAGAAAATGAAGAAAAAAAACACTACTATTACAAGTTAAAAGAGACAATTAGCAGCTGGTCATTATTACACGAACTCCCATCAAGGGCTCAAAATTCATTGGTTGGTTATTGTACGGAGCAGAAGCCATTTTGTGCCATACCGCATGATATAAGCAATCTGAAATGCAAATTTATATGTATCTAAAATAAAAGCTCCATAACAGCAGTAGCCTCTCTTCCCTCCTCCAAACCAATCTTTAGTATGTCATAAATAAAAGAGTCATCAAAGAAAAAGAAAAAATGAATTATGATCTATTCCCTGTTACTTCTCAAAACTCAAGGAGGTATTTACATTGTCAAATAATATGACGATTGATTGGCAAAATCTCAAGCCCCCAGAGAACTTACAATCAAGCAAGTAGAATCTAAGTTGCCCGGGCCGGGGTGGAGCTAGAGACCAAGGTGCGGGTTCGGCTGAATCAAGTAACTTTGGTCCAACCTCTGTATTTGTCTTAGAAAATTCATTTAATATGTACAAAACATTAATTTAGAACCCAATAACTTAAAAGTGCTAAAATCCTGAACCCATAAGTTTCAAATTCTGGCTCCGCCTCTGGGTGCGGATCTAGAAGTCGGATCATTCGAGATGTAAATTCTAAGATTTGAGGATATGGATCCTAGTACAAGTACGGGTGCAGAGATCTGGTTAAAAATAATTCAAAAATATAAAAATATAAAAATATCTCTAAATTATGAGAAATTTTGTGGAATACTTACGTATAGCTTGTAAAGTATGGATTTCTTTTTTATTCTCAAGCTATAGATAAGTAAATGATTGATTTCCTAGATAAGGTATGCTATTTTCTTCAAATTTATCCTAGTTTTGGTTCTGATTTCGGGGAATCAATTTGTATCTCGTCTGGAATTTTTTCCGTTGTGGTCAAAGTGCCCAAAATTGTTTGACCAGATGCGGTACGGATCCCATACCCACTCTCATACTAGTGTCGTGTCGACACGGGTGCAGCATCTAAACCGCTGTCGGAGCAACTTAGAGTAGAATAGAAGGTTCCCCCCAAAGTCAACCTCCTAAAGGGTGCAGAAATAACTACAGATTTATATTGCCAAATAATATAACTACAGATTGACAATGCCTCAAGCCCCCAGAAAACTTAAAATAAGGAAGCAATTCAGAAGAGTAGAAGGTTCCCTAGAAATTGCTAAACTATTAAGTCGCCTTCCAAAGTCAACTACCTAAAGGGTCCTTAAAAGTTAAGACAGATAACTAAGGAGATAATACGGAGACAAGTCCATTAATCCTATCCGTTACCCTACATAAATGAAGAGGATACTGGAAGTTATTATAATACAGAAGTAGCAGAGTACTAAATAATAAATATGATAGCATGGAATTTCTGCAGATATATTAGAATTGTAACATCTCTTTGCTAATCATGAAAAATATTGTGATATTAGCAGTGTGTGTGTGTGGGTGCAGGTGTTTGTGCATATATATATATATATATATATGAATGCATTCATAACGTGCAAATTTGAACAACAGAGTTGGACTTTATTCAGACTACTGCTGTAACAAACAATGCTGACACCACTTCCCTCTCACCTTAAACCAATTACAATAAAATCGACAAGGACATACCTAAATGCTTCGATGCTTTTGGTATTACAAGCAAATGGTCTAAATTGGATCATCAAATTAGCAACAGGGAGCAACTGAAAAGGAAATACAATGCAGAGAGCACATAGCCAGAAGTATATTCTTCAGAAATCCCAATAAAGACGATATGATACATTATATTACTTTGCTAGTTGAATTGTACCAAAAACCTAGCAATTAATTGGCTTGCTTATCTGCTTTATACAGCCACTATAAGGTTCAAGGGAAAGTGAGGAGTTATGATTATGGTCCACTCCTAAGAGAGATGGAAGAGTGAACATACTGCTGAAATACTATCAGATCCTTCATTTCTGTTCTGGAAATAATTTAATACCTAAGCCTAGTATGATCTGTGAAATCATGTTTCCTCACCCAACTGGCTACTTTGATGTAGCGAGCAAGCCGACAAGCACAGCCTAAATATACATTATTGGTGGAGACAATTGGTAGCAAAAGGATCACAACTAGTTAACAGCCTGAAAAATATTACATTCATTCCAAATTTCTTTCACAAAAGTTATGCACTTGTGTTGGATTGGCACTACAAATCTAATCCAAATAAAATAGATACAAATAAGTATAGATGGGAGAATAAATTATGTTTCCTGGGAGACTCTTAATTTACTAATGATCCTGGCATGACCTGCGTCATGGATTCCACACAAAGTATCCCACGCATTTTATGAGCCGAATATTCAGATAGTTTCCATCCAAATTTATTTGGGACATTAACAACCAACCAAATATTCACATACTATAAATTCCAGCATAATACATGACTAACCAATCGATAACCAACAATGAGAGGAACCACAAAAATCACTATTAAGAACCCTATGTCAAGCGAACCAACCAAATTAACACAACCATTATGTATCCTATTACGGGAGGACTGTTAAACCAAAATGCCATTCAGCACTAAAAGATTTGGCCTTGGATGTTTCCGCTCAAACACAACACACTTTAGCAGAATAAAAATACACTTGAAGATGTTTACTCTTCAGGAGACAAAAGTTGACCTCGATCCCGCAATTTGACATATAGCTTTGCTAGATGAAGACCACTATCTTAAATAAACATTATCTCAGTGATATATATAAGGAATTCTTACATGTTTTCCATTAACTTAAGAAACCTAGGGAAAGATTAAGCACGATAACTATTCAATATCGAGCTTTGACATAATAGAATACGTATTAATGTAAAGTCTCCGATTTATTAATTAATCAAAGAATCGGTTAGCTTACTACAAACCAATTAATTTTGCAACAATTATTAACAAATCAACAACATTGTAAAAGTCAAATTTCTTAATAAATAAAAATATTAACTGGGTATAGGAGACGGTACAATGAAGCAAAAGCAATAAAATCACAGCAATAAACAAATATATGAATAAAATTCAATAAATTGTACACAACTTAACAGTTTCTTTTGAGTACAAAAATCCTAACTAGGTCAGGAAGACTATAAAATGAAGCGAAAGCAAAGTATCAAAGTACAAACGAATATATGAAAACATGAAATAGGTTATGAACAATTGATTGTTTCATCAAATATCAAGGAATTGAAAACATTGAACAACTTGAACATCAACTTTCTGACTTAAAATAGGTCTTCGAGATGATACACCAAAGCAAAAACAATTAAATCATAGCACAAATTAGTATATGAAAGAAAATGAATCCAATAGATTGCAAACAATTGAGAACGATTGTCAACGA